TCCAACAAAGAGAGGTTCTGCCTTTACATAGGCTTATACTCTAGATATTACATGTGGAAGAATCTTAGGTTTACAGCCTTAGAAATCACATACGAAAGGGTTTCAGGAATCACATTGAAAAGGTTTGGTCTCCGGATGGAGGAGTGGGATGGGGGTTTGATCTTGTTTTAAGTAAAAACAGTGTCTTCTGGAACGTTTCCCCAATACCAAGCGTGTTATTTACAGGAAGGAGATTCAGGAGGTGCCAGCTGGCCTGCTCTTTCTTCTATTGAAATGCACTGTGGAAGATAGAAGAGGGGAGGTAATCTCAGATGCCTGGGCCTCCTTCCTCAGGACGATCATTTGAGCCCAGGAGTTGTAGACCAGCTTGGGCAATATAGCGAGATCCTATCTCTACAGATAAAAATAAAAATTTAAAAAAAAAAAAAAAAGCCAGGCATGGTGGTGTGTGCCTGTAGTTCCAGTTGCTTAAGATGGTGAGGTGGGAGGATCACTTGAGCCCAGGAAGTTGAGCTACAGTGAGCTATGATCATGCCACTGCACTCCTACCTGGGCGACAGAGTGAGACCCTGTCTCAAACAAAACAAAACAAAAATGTGGTCACTTCAGGGGACAGTGAAGTAAGTACAATATTTTGCTGTGATGTTTACAAGCAATCCTGGTATTTGATCTTTTCTGCCATTAGAATTTGTCAGCTGAGCTGGGCACGGAAGCTCATGCCTGTAATCCCAGCCCTTTGGGAGGCTAAGGTGGGAGGATCACTTGAGCCAGGGAGTTATAGACCAGCCTGGGCAACATGGTGAAACCCCTGTCTCTACAAAAAAAAAAAAAATACAAAAATTAGCCAGGTATGGTGGTACGTGCCTGTAGTTTTAACTACTTGAGAGGCTGAGGTAGGAGGACCACCAGAGCTGTGATGATGCCGCTGCACTTCAGCCTGGGTGACAGTGGGACCCTGCCTCAAAAGAAAATAAAGGAATTTGTCAGCAGAGAACATTAGGGTCAGACTAAAAAGCTAGAGCTGCATCCAACGGACTCCTGGAATTAAAGAGCATCATCAGTGACATACCTTGGTCTGGTGTCCTCTGGCCTACAGAGCTCACCCTGGACTAGATTGCCCCCATCAATGTCCTCTTCCAACCTAGGCGTGATGTGTCCTGGCCAGTTTCTGTAAGATTTCTTCTTTTTCCCAAACTAACCCCGGATTGAAGCTTCAGGAGCTTGCTCTCAACCCAGCTGAAAAGGGGCCATTCAGTTTGTGACTACATATGGCAAGATGTTTCCTTCTGCCAGCCTGTGTACCTTCAGACTCCTCCAGTCAGCTCTGTTCACCAGGGGACAGCAGACAAAGATGATTGTTGTCTTTGGCAAAGTATAAGAAAGGCAGCAAATATATGTCAAAATAAACCTTAAACTGCATCCCAAAGCCGATATGATTAAAAAGAAACCTGTAGCCAAGTTTGCCATTCTTGTCTCACTCTGTCACCCAGGCTGGCACACAGTGGCGCAATCTTGGCTCACTTCAACGTTTGCCTCTCAAGGGATCCTCCCACCTCAGCCTCCAAGTAGCTGGGAGTATAGGCGTGAGTCACCACATCCAACTGATTTTTTGTATTTTTGTAGAAATGGGGTTTCACCATGTTGTCCAGGCCAATCTCAAACTTCTGAGCTCAAACAATCCACTGGCCTCGACCTCCCAAAGTGCTAAGATTACAGATGTGAGCCACAGTGCCGTGCCAGGATAGCCATTCTTTTTTTTTTTTTTTTTTT